ACCTTGTTATCTCAGATTCTCCGGCATCTGCAGTTCCTACTATCTCTGAAACAATTTTAACCCCACTGTGAAGCCATTTCTGAAGAAGGGTCTAGGCCCGAAACGTCAGCTTTCCTGCTCCTCTGATGCTGCTTGGCCTGCTATGTTCATCCAGCTCTACACCTTGTTATCTCAGATTCTCCAGCATCTGCAGTTCCTACTATCTGTAGAACTACATGTTAACTTCATTTTGATTTAAATTGGTTCAGCAGGCTACATTGTAGGACTGCTTTGTGACATCAGTTTTCACTAATGCCCTGAAATTCTGGGTGCGTTTTAAAACTTGGTTTCTAATTTGTACTTCTTATATGGAAAAAATTAATACTTGTGATTTTCTTTGTATTGTTAGTTCACCGTGCAAAAAACAGTCCAGTCATTTTTCAGTATGAAAGAGGGATATAAAATGGATGGTCTTGGTTTGGATTTCACATGTGAGTTGAAACATGATTCATTCGAGTGTACGTCAAAGATCAAGGAGCTAGACGGAAAGATTCTAGACTTGTCTTGCCTAACAGAAGATGAGAAATGCAAAGTGAAAAACTTACTGGATAATATGAGTGAGCCTAACATTCAAATCAACACAGCATCTGAGCAGAGTCCTGGTGCAGTTTCCTCACTTTGTGCAGGTATATACTTGTTTGTTTAATATTTGCTTTATCAGTGCTAAAGCAGATTTTTGCCTGCAATATTTTGGTAGGTGAATAAATAGCTTATTATTATCAATCATCCTTTATTCAAACGACTGAATTCTCCCGTTATGCCCACTCTGAACTTTTCTTGTCCGTGAGACCCACTTCCTGTCCCCCCAATCTTATTTCCACAAAGCCACCACAGTGCCAAATGGCTGTCACCAAAATCAAAAAAACTTCTAGCGAACCTGTGACATCCTTCTCAACCTCTCAAAATCTCACCATTGTTATTCAGCTGGGTGAGACTATGTTGTCTACCTTGTCTATTTAGTCAAAGTCAGAGAATCATTTGCAATAATACTTGCTATTACACTTTTATCTTTAGTGTTTCCCAAGGACCTATCCTTAGTCGCCTCATGTTACTTATTTATCATGGCCCCTCAGATGGCCACATTGCCTGAAAGCAGATCATTAGGTTTTACACATGGTCACTTCTCTCAACTCTTGCATTATTTTCGAATGATCAGACTGTTTACTTGGCACCTGACACAGAATGAACAGAAATTTCCTCTAATTAAATGTTGAGAAGACTGAATCTGTAAGTTTTAGTCCCCACTCCTAAACTATAATTCCTCTCCATAATTCCATTCCTCTTGCAGCAACTGTCTAAGGCTAAATCAGACATATTTGACCCTAAGATGCACTTTCAATCTTATATTTATAATCTGTATACATTATAAAGTTCAAGGGACATGGAGGATATGCAAGAAAATGGCAGTGAAGTAGAAGATGAATCATGATCTCATTGAATGCTGGAATGGGCTTGAAGGGCTGAATGATCTACTCCTACTTTTATTTTCATGTGACCACTAAATTCACCTATTTTCACCTCTATTTCATCGACAAACTTTGCCCCTTGCTCAGCCAATCCACTGCTAAAACCCCTATTCATACCTCTGTAACTTTTTTATTTCAATGATCTCCTGGCTCATTTTTAAAATACCATCCTTAATAAACTCGAGGCCATCCAAAATGCTGTTTACCATGTATTAACTTGCAACAAGTCCTGCTCCACTATCACCCCTGTACGTACTGATCTACAGTCAACCTACTGCACAGTCAAGTACCATCTTGATCTTAAAATTCTCATCCTTGTTTTCAAATCTCTCCATTGCTTGACACACCCTATCTCTATAATCTCCTGCAATTCTGCAACGTCTGGGTATCCATGCTCCTGTATCCCTGCTGTGCTGCATCAATTTTAATAGCTCCACCATTGATAGCTGTGCTTTTAGTTGTCTAGGCCCCAACAAAGCTCTGCAAAACAGTCCTTAAACCTCTGCGCTACTCTGCCTCACTTTCCTCCATTAAGACAATACTTTGAACCTACCTTTTTAATCAAGCTTTTGGCGATCTGATCTATCTGCTTTTGTAGTTCAGTGTCATATTTTGTTTTAAAATGCTCCCTGAAGTGTCTTGGGATATTATATAAGTTCTTCCTGTCGTTGGGTTTTGAAGTCCATACTAACACTTCTGAGAGAAGCCAAGGCTTTCAAATGAAAAAAAAAATGAACAGCCACAAGATGTAATTCATAGGATAAATATAATCGCATCTTTTATAAAATATACGTTTAAAAAATTTAATCCTTATTTAGTACACTGGAACTTACACATATTGGAGGCAGAAGAAGAGGGCAGGTGTGTGAATGCCAGAAATGATTTTGAATGATTTGTGATCAGAACTTGTTTTTGCTGGCTGACCCATGTTGAAGATGATATCAACTCTGGGTTGTGAGTTTATGCTGTGGGTCTTCATGTGATGGAGTAGGCTGATTTTTAGCCAGCAGATCTTTGGACAAATGGGGCACAGTCTCTCACAAAGTAGCTAACATTGAAATATTTTGAAGTTGTAAACATCCAAACGTAAATAATGTTTCTTTTAAAAACAGGTTCATCTGAGAAAGAAGCGTTTAGTTCGTCTCGAGGACAATCATATGCCAAGAGGACATCTGTAAAGGAAAAGTCTTCAACACAGTACCCTGCAGTGAATGAGAAATCATATCTGCTGCAATTTACACAAAACTTGCCCAGATATATAGAATGAAGCTTTTAAAAAATGAAATCAGAATCCAAGCTTTTTAACTCAAATGTGCCTTATTAATTTACAACATTTAAAAGATATCTGGATGGGTACGAGAATAAGAAGGTTTTAGAGGGATATGGGCCAAATGCTGGCAATTGGGACTAGGTTAATTCCGAATATCTGGTCTGTTTCTGTGCTGTATGACTCTACGACTCCAATTACCTTGAATGAGTCTGAATTTGGGAACAACGTATGAGCAGGATCTTTTTAAACTGTGTGGTTTTTGGAATAGCCAGGATTGTTATTCTCATGTCTCCTGTAATCATTTTGTTTAGTATAGCTTGAGGAACTTATACCTCTGTTAGTTTACAAACTGATATTTGTAATAATGGCATATCTTTCACTAATAACTACATTAACATCACGGGAAGACAAGTATGCTACCACCATGATTTCTAATAGAGTAAGTTTTCAGCTTTGCTGCCTGAGCAGTGATCTAGTTGTGCAGATCACCCGGACTCTGTGGCACTTATTCAATTTTAATTCCACTGAAACCATAGATTATGTGAGGGATGAATGTTACAATAGGTGAGCAATCTGTTTTGACAGATTACCACATCATGACAGACAAAAGAAAAACCCAGTTTTCACTTTGGATAAGAAAATGGTTTCTAATGGCATAACTAAGCGTACGGTAATAATGGGATTAGTCAAGAGACAATAAGGGGCTTTACAACTTCTAGTTTTGTGCTTTTTAGAAGCTATACTCATTTTACTAACCAAACATTGCTGTACTAGGGAGAAGGAAAGAAACTCCAAATATTGCATTCCAGCCACAACCTTGTTATTTAGCCACAACCTCACCTTTATATACAGTGGCAAAAGTAGGTGCCAACTACACTGCACTGCAGTACCTCACCAAAGTAACCTTCCAAACCCGCTATCTTTACCTCCTATAAGGACAAGAGTAGCAGATGCATGGGAACTGTGTTGATCCCTGGTTTGATGGTAATGGTGGAGTGGTGCATTTGGGGGACTGTTGCTGATGGTGCACAGAACCTCAGTGATGCCCAATGTTGAGTTGCTAGCTCTGTTTGAAATCTATTCCATGTAGCATGATGGTAGTGTCACACAACATAATGGCACATATCCTCAATATAAAACTAGAACTTCAGCTCCACAAGGACTCCTATAGATACTGTCATGGGTGGATACATCTGTAGAAGGCAGAGGATGTGGTGAGGGTGTGGTCCAATATGATTTTCCCTCTTGATGGTTTTAGGTCCCATACCCAGTTTTCCAGTGATGTTCTTTATGACTCAGCCAGCTGTGTCAGTAGTGGCTGCCAAGGTGCTGATGGGAGACATTGAAGTCCCACACCCAGAATACCTTCTGTGCCCTTGTCACCCTCAGTGATTCCTTCGACCAGTGCTCAACATGGAGGAATATAGATAAACATACGAAATTGGAGCTGAAGTAATCATTCACTCACCGAACCTGTTTCTCCATTCAAAAATATAATCGCTCATTTGCTGGTGTTTTGAATTCCACAGTCTCATCCACTCTCAATAAGCCTTGATTCCCTTGCCCAACAAGAATCTATCCATCTCTTTCTTAAAAATATTCAGTGGCCTTCCTCTACTGCATTCAAGGCAGAGAGTTTTGATGTCTCACAGTTCTTGGAGAGAGAAAGTTTCTCCTCATCTCTGTCCTGAAAAGGTGATCCCTAATTTTGAAACCTGCCCCCTGGTTCATAGAACATAGAACATTACAGCGCAGTACAGGCCCTTCGGTCCTCGATGTTGCGCCGACCTGTGAAACCAATCTGAAGCCCATCTAACCTAAACTATTCCATTATCATCCATATGTTTATTCAATGACCATTTAAATGCCCTTAAAGTTGGCAAGTCTACTACTTTTGCAGGCAGGGCATTCCACGCCCTTACTACTCTCTGAGTAAAGAACCTACCTCTGACATCTGTCCTATATCTATCACCTCTCAATTTAAAGCTATGTCCCCTCGTGCTAGCCATCACCATCCGAGGAAAAAGGCTCTCGCTGTCCACCCTATCTAATCCTCTGATCATCTTGTATGTCTCTATCAAGTCACCTCTTAACGTTCTTCTCTCTAACGAAAACAGCCTCAAGTCCCTCAGCCTTTCCTCATAAGACCTTCCCTCCATACCAGGCAACATCCTGGTAAATCTCCTCTGCACCCTTTCCAATGCTTCCACATCCTTCCTATAATGCGGTGACCAGAACTGTACGCAATACTCCAAGTGCGGCCGCACCAGAGTTTTGTACAGCTGCAACATGACCTCACGGCTCCGAAACTCAATCCCTCTACCAATAAAACCTAACACACCATACGCCTTCTTAACAACCCTATCAATCTGGGTGGCAACTTTCAGTGATCGATGCACATGGACACCGAGATCTCTCTGCTCATCCACACTACCAAGAATCTTACCATTAGCCCAGTACTCGGTATTCCTGTTACTCCTTCCAAAGTGAATCACCTCACACTTTTCCGCATTAAACTCCATTTGCCACCTCTCAGCCCAGCTCTGCAGCTTATCTATGTCCCTCTGTAACCTGCAACATCCTTCCGCACTATCCACAACTCCACTGACTTTGGTGTCATCCGCAAATTTACTAACCCATCCTTCTACGCCCTCATCCAGGTCATTTATAAAAATGACAAACAGCAGTGGCCCCAAAATAGATCCTTGAGGTACACCGTTAGTAACTGAACTCCAGGATGAACATTTCCCATCAACCACCACCCTCTGTCTTCTTACATTTAGCCAATTTCTGATCCAAACCGCTAAATCACCCTCAATCCCATGCCTCCATATTTTCTGCAATAGCCTGCCATGGGGAACCTTATCAAACGCTTTACTGAGATCCATATACACCACATCAACCGCTTTACCCTCATCCACCTGTTTGGTCACCTTCTCAAAGAACTCAATAAGGTTTGTGAGGCACGACCTACCCTTCACAAAACCACCCACAAAAGGAAACACCCTTTCCCATCCACCTTATCATTCAGGATCTTATACACTTCAATCAAGTCACCCCTAACTCTTCTAAACTTCAGTGAAAACAAGTCTAGTATTTCTACCTTTTCTCATGAGACAACCCACCCACTCCAGGTATCAATCTAGTAAATGTCCTCTGAACTGCTTTGACGTGTTTACATCCATCCTTAAATAAGGAGACCAAAACTGCACACCATACTTGAGATGTGATCTTACGTATGCCTTGTGTAACTGATGCATAAGATTCTTACTTTTTGTACAAATTCTCTTGTAATAAAGGATACCATCCCATCAGCTGTCTTGATTATGTGCTGTATCTGCTTACTTACTTCTTATGACTCATGTACCAGAGCATCTAGATCCCTCCCTCTGTATCTTGCAATTCTGCAGCTCTTTTCCATTTAAGAAATGCTTTTTTTTATCCTTCCTGCTAAAGTGAGCAACTTCACATTTTCTCACATTATATACCATTTGCCAGATCTTTGTCTGCTCACTCAACCTACCTATATCCACCTGCTTAAAACTTCTACACATATGCTTTCCTACCTATCATGGTATTATCTGTGCATTTGTACCCCTTGTCTAAGTCATTGATGTCAATTGTAAAACATTAAGGCCCCAGTACAGACCCCTGCAGCATTCCAGTCGTCACATCCTGCTTTCTGGCTGACAGACAATCTTTGAAAAAGCTACCTCCTACATTATGAGCTTTTACTTTCCACCAATTCACAAGTTGAAGTTGTGTTGGACTGGTCACGTGGTAATCAGCAGGAGGTTTCCTTGCCCATCTTTGACCTGATACCACAAAATTTCGTGGATTCTGGAGTCCATATTGAGGATCCTTCGAGCAACTCCCTGCAGACTGTGTACCACTGTACCACTACCTTTGTTGGGATAATGATAGTTGTGTCTGGGACATTGTCATATTCATGGAATCAAACCCTACATGTATGCCTCAGATTTCTGCTTTGTTGATGCTCTCCAGTAAATAGGCCAGGGCTACGAATGAGTAATTTTTAATACGTCCCACCACACGTTCCTCTGGATCTTTCTGTTGAGGCTTTTGGATGCAAACAGATACAGATTATTTTACTTGCTGTACTGTTAGACGATGTATAGATGTTCACTGACTCCATATAGAACCACCAAACTCTGCTTTAATCAAACTAAGTTGTTTCTACTATTATCTATGGACTACAGCAAGCAATGATAGATTTTCTGATTTCTCCATAGATAGCCTTTGTTTAAAGACTTCATTTCCTCCTTCCCTGCTCCACCTGTACCTTGTCTTAGATCTTTCAGATCTGCGATATTCGTATTCCTGCTTCTGTATTTGTCTATTTCCACTGGCTATCTATATTACTAACAGGGAATCCAGATGTTGGCTCTTTTGTGACCTAAGCTGGCAATTCAACGTTTGTAAAGTCTGAAAATGTTTCTTTTTCTGTATTGGTTTAAATAATAAAAAAAAATTTTTTAAAAGAAAATGTTCCAATATCATTGTGACACCAAGATACAAATATTGTGATGTTGCAGAAAAATTACAAACCATATTCTTTTAGTCAGTCTTTACTAATACACCACAGGATTTGTATGTATGCATTTAGGATAGTTTGAGGTGTTATGGTGAAGTCACAATACCATCCCAAAGTATGCTGCAGTGATGGAACAATTGAAACCTCATCAGACATCTAACCATCCCTCCTGGCAGCTACATACTTCAACCAAGAAGAGAGGGACACTCATTCACTACATTATATGAAGGCAAAAACAACCAGAAAGTCAATCTGGTTTAATTTTTGCAGAATGAAACAGCAGAGGGAAGAGACGTCTTTGGGATATAACTCCATGTGTTAGTAAGTTTTAGTACCAATTTACATTTTGATAACAAATTCAAATTTCATCCGTTCCTCTCAATTAGACTGTATCACCACCTTCACGTAACCTGGCCATACAAAAGACACGGTGCAAAGTTAAGTATCCCTCTCACTACTCAAAGATTCTAAGATTCCTGACGCTGCTCATGTACCTCAGAATTTACTCCAATAACCAATACCCTAAAACTCCAAGTTTTTCGACTATTCAGTCTTTCCAATGCTCCCAAACCGTGAAAACACTCTCCCTCAGCATTTGTAGTTCTTAAAACAGTTGCCTTCATGTACTCCCACAAATACAGCAAGACACCTCTTATTTTGCTCAGAGCACAAGACTGCTCCAGGTTCCAAACTTTAACATCTACTAGACCCCAACACCATCTGTTAACAATATTCCAGGACTGCCACATCTCTTCCAGGCATGCCCACCTTGAAGAAGTTCTGCTCCTCTCTCCGACGGGATTTCCGTTCCAATCTCTCTTCTTGCCCACCGACTTTAATTTCACTGTCACTCCTGGTGTTTGACCAGGTATTTGCTAAAACTCGTTTCCACAGCCATATCACATTCCTCAGTGACTGCCTGCGGCTCAGACTCACCCCACGTGGATTCCAACTGAAGTTTCATCCCTCATGTTTTGAATCCTCCCAGGATCACAGATACCTCCATGATGTTCAACGTTCCACAGACAGCTGCTCTCGCCGCATCCTGAGATCCACACTCAGTGCCATGCGGCGTCACATGCGCAGTCTCAACCTTTCTGTCCAACAGCATCATAACACACTGGCACAGGGCTGCACCACTCCGCAATTCCACTTCATCCTCCAGCTCATTCATCGTGCTAACAAGAAACTTTTTCTTTTCCTTTCAGGCATCAAGGCCCACAAGATGCATGAACTCAAAAATACCCATGGCCCTCTGGAACCTACCTCTCCTCCCCTTCCCTCTGACTCTATCCCCTCGCCCAACCCCCCCACCTCCTGTCGGGTATTCACCATCCCTCCTAACCTTCCGCTCTCCGATGTTGAACGCTTTGTACTCAGCAAAGGCCTCAGCTTTATCCCTCTGCGTCCCCACCTTAACGAATTTCGGGCACGACATGACGCCAAACTGTTCTTCTGCCGTCTTTGCCTCCGTGCTCATTTCTTTGGACAAGAGTCCTCTCCCCGCCCCACAGACCCCTTTGCCCAATTCCAACACTCTCCCTCCACCTGGACCCCTCCCTCCGGCCTTTTACCTGCACTCGATCTTTTCACTGAGAACTGTCAACGTGACATCAGTCACCTCAATTTCACTGCCCCTCTCAACAAATCCAACCTATCTCCCTCTGAACTGACTGCACTCCATGCACTCAGATCTAACCCTGACTTTGTCATCAAGCCTGCCGATAAGGGTGGTGCTGTTGTCTGGCGTACTCTGAGCGCCAGCTCTCAGATACCTCCTCCTACCTTCCCCTGGACCACGACCCCACCATGGCACATCAGGCCATTTTATCCACTACGGTTATGGATCTCATTTCATCCGGTTATCTCCCCCCATCCGCTTCCAAGCTAATAGTCCCCCAAACCCGCACAGCTCGTTTCTACCTCCTGCCAAAAATCCACAAACAGGGCTGTCCAGGCAGACCCATTGTTTCAGTCTGCTCCTGCCCCACAGAACTCATCTCTTCCTACCTTGACTAATTTTCTCCCCCCTGGTCCAATCCCTACCCACATACATCCATGATTCATCTGACGCCTTACGCCGGTTTCAAAACTTCCAGTTTACAGGCTCCAGCCACCTCCTCTTTACCATGGATGTGCCATCCCTTTACACATCCATTCCCCACCAGGAGGGTCTTAGGGCTCTCCGCTTCTTCCTGGAGCAAAGACCTGAACCATCCCCACCCACCACCACCCTCCTCCGCTTGGCTGAGCTTGTTCTCACCCTCAACAACTTCTCTTTCAACTCCTCTCATTTTCTTCAGGTAAGAGGGGTTGCCAGGGGTACCTGCATGGGCCCGAGTTATGCCTGTCTCTTCGTGGGGTACGTGGAACATTCCTTGTTCCAGTCCTATTCCGGCCCCCACCCACAACTCTTTCTCCGATACATTGATGATATCATCGGTGCTGTTTCCCTCTCTCGTCGAGAATTGGAAAACTTCATCAATTTCGCCTCCAATTTCCACCCTGCCCTCACTTTCACCTGGCCTATCTCTGACTCCTCCCTTCCCTTCCTCGACATTTCTGTTTCCATTTCTGGGGGTAGACTGGCCACTAATATCCATTACAAACCCACCGACTCTCACAGCTACCTGGACTATACATCCTCACACCCCAATTCCTGTAAAGACTCCATCCCATTCTCTCAGTTCCTCCGCCTCCGTCGCATATGTTCAGATGAGGCCAACTTCGAGAAGGGAGCCTCCGAAATGTTCACATTCTTCCTTGACCGAGGATTCCCCAGCTCCGTTGTCGACAGGGTCCTCAATTGGGTCCGACCCATCTCCCGCACTTCTGTCCTCACCCCTTCTCTTCCCTCCAGCAACAGCGATAGGGTCCCCTTATCCTCACCTACCATCCCACCAGCATCCACATCCAGAAGATCATCAGACTCCATTTCCGCCACCTCCAGCAAGATGCCACCACCAGACACGTATTCCCCTCCCCTCCCTTGTCCGCCTTCTGCAGGGACCGTTCCCTCCGAGGCACCCTGGTCCATACTTCCTTCACCCCCAACACCTCCCCACAGCCCTATGGCGCCTTCCCCTGTAACCAGCGAAGGTGCAACACCTGTGCATTTACCTCCTCCCTCCCCACTATCCAAGGGCCCAAACATACCTTCCAGGTGAAGCAACACTTCACCTGCACTTCCAAGAATCTAGTCTACTGCATTCGCTGCTCACACTGTGGTCTCCTCTACATTGGGGAAACGAAGCGTAGGCTTGGCGACCGCTTTGTAGAACATCTACGTTCTGCTCGCAAAAAAGATCCTGAACTACCTGTTGCCTGCCACTTCAATGCACCACCTTTCTCCCTGGCCAACATCTCTGTTTCCGGCTTGCTACAGTGTTCCAGTGAAGCCCAGCGCAAGCTGGAGGAATAACACCTCCTTTTCCGCTTGGGGACCCTACAGCCCTCCGGACTCAATATTGAGTTCAATAATTTTAGGGCCTAAACTCTCCCATGACCCAGCTCCCCACCCCACACACCAGGCCTTGTTACCACATAGCCTGCCACTACACACCCCCTGTTGTTAGTCACTAACAGTCCCCATTAACAACTATTCACCCTCCCAGCCTGATCGCTAGCAACTCCTTTGTCTGTCCAACTGTCTTTCTCTCTCTTTGGGCTCTATCCTATCGTTTACTCCCGACACCACCCTGCACGTAAACTGACGTTTTCCCGGCCACCATTAGTTCTGAGGAAGGGTCACTGGACCCGCAATGTTAACTCTGTTTTCTCCTCCACAGATGCTGCCAGACCTGCTGAGCTTTTCCAGCAACTTTGTTTTTGTTCCTGATTTACAGCATCCGCAGTTCTTTTGGTTTTTATTCCAGGACTAAAGGCAGGTCTCCTGTATGCTTCCTCCATCACTGTAATCTGGAATATATTCTCTGCTATAATCCTGCTAATGACCACCTTCTGTATTATTAATGTCTGTGATACACTGGACTTCAATAAGAGATAAAATTAACAACAGGGTTAAATGAATAATTAATAAGTAAGATGGCTTGTTTATAATTTCCACACAAATATCAATATAATCATGGAACTTAATCCTATAAATACCTAAGGTTCCCACAATATTGTGTATTACGAATACAATTTGACATATTTAACCACAATAAATCAATAGCTCGATAATACATTGTGCTTTACATGGGTTACAGCAACATGTGCAATAATTCACTAATTAACATCATGGGAGGTCCTGTTAGTTATAATAAAATGTTGTTTGCCTTTGCTGTCTTTCAACCTCCATATTGGTTCAGTGTTAATATTTGAGTAGAATGCAACTAAACACGTTTCAGTCACTCATTTGCCCATGATGGCTGATGCTTATCTGATCCTGGTAACCACATCACTATTTTGGTGGTGGCTCATTCATTTTGAATGCTGTCATTAGTATGTGGCATCCACTGGTCCCTAGGAATCATAGGACACCAGCTAACTGACATCAGTGAGCAGATTCAAATGGTTTCTCGTTGATCTGAATATCTGTACTGCTTTATGGAGGGAGTATGTTCAACACATTGCCACTTGTGTTAAAATGTAGCCAGACCAATTATAATAATTAAAACAAATGAGCAACAATTACTACAGAAACAAACACTGAAGTGGGTATCATGATCCAATGAGCAGTAGTCAATGTGAATCCAAGCCAGGAAACATTCTTAGTCACAGTTTTACAACTGCAGTGCCCAATAAGTGCTGTTCTTGTAAAACAAGAATCAGTGTGGTGCAGGTATGTGCAAGTCAGAGAGGTAGATATTGGAATTGCAAGACAATTACATTGCATAATATTCTTATGCTCCTCTAATGTGGTATTACTAAGGACAGGTTCTCAATTTATGAAACACTGGAGAACAGGTCCCAGCTTGAGAATTGGCTGGGAATGAATATTGACGCAAACCCAGGGAAATGTTATCTAACCAGTCCACTCCTGGCTGCAAGTACAGATCATAGCATAAACCCATGTTTAAATACAAAATGCATTGTTATTGTATTTGTTGATAATGTGTGGGTATAAACATTGTAAATATAATACTTAAAACTGATTTTATGCTTTAAACCAAATTCAGTAAGTATCACCTTGTGGTGAGGGAAGGTGTGGAGCAGCCTCAACTTTATGAATAGCTCAAGGAAGATTAATCGTGAAGGGGATGTGGTCGGAGTTTGGAACAAGAGTCCTGGAGGCAAGGAAAAGGGAATGAATTGTAGGCAGGCTAGTATCTGCAATACAGTGGTAACAGCTCATGCTTTCTCTATATTTGTCACACTCTTTCTAGTTCCATCTATCTGCCACTCACTCAGCACCTCTCCAAACACACCATCTCACAGTTTTTCTCTCTGGTCTTTCTCTTCATTTCTTTTGTTCTCTGTCTCAATTTCTCTCTTTTTTGCTTTACTCTCCCTTTTCCTCTATTTATTTTTTGCTTCTCTGTATCAGTTTACATCAACCCTTTTCACAAACATTTTCTCTCCATTGTCTCCTATTTGACACATTCAAAGATGGGAGGGATTGCTCAGGCAATAGGCCAGTGCGTCAGGGAATAGGCAGTATGAGGAAGACAGTTGCTCAAATGTGATCTGAGTAGTTTTGGGAGAAATACTCAGTGGAGATAGTCTCCACCACAGGCTGCTCTTGAGGGCGTGGTGCATCAATCATGCCCTTTATTGATGCCCTTTCATTGGCTTGAGGACAAACTACTGACTCTGTGGCTATCAAATATGGTAACAATGTAACAGAGAATCTCACCTGTGCATGCAGAACATTAACAAAGGAGCCAGCATTCTGACAAAATTAGCATATATAATATTTCAGAATATTTTGAAATGCACTTGTGCCACCATAGAAATGACAGAGCAGAAAGCACAATGTTCACATATTGCTCTTGTCCAACATGTAGGTTAATATCTCCCTATTCTAACTGTTATTATACCCCATTTGGAATACGGTGTACAGTTCTTATTTCCGTATTATAAAAAGAATATTGGAAGCTGGAAAATATTCAAGGATAGTATCAGATCTGTGAGGCTGTACCTGTCAAAGAAGGATAAATAGATTGCGTTTGCTTTCTCTTGAAAAGAGAAGGCTGTTGGTGAATTGATAGACACTTTGAAAATTCTGAAAACCTTTGCTAGAGTGGATTTAGAAGGAATGTTTCCATTTATGGGGAAAAGCAAAACTAGGGGTCATCAATGGAAGATATTCAGTAAGAAATCAAATAGCAAATTCAGAGCAAACATTTTCACCCACAGAGCAATAACAATATGAAATTTGCCACCTCCTGGAAATTTTCTTCTATTCATACACGGGACTTGGTTACCAGTGGCTTTGCCAGAATTTATTGCCTCTCCCAGATTGCCCTTGAGCTGATTGATTTGCTAGAACGCTTTACGTTGAAGTGGATGGTATCCATGCATTTAAGGAATGTTTGACAAGCAAATACAGGAGGAAGGAATATGGGGCTATGGCTGATAGAGTTAGTCAAGGAAAGTTGGGAGGTGCCTGAGCAACACATAGACAATGGCATAGACTGGTTGGACTGAATGCCCTGTTTTTGTGCTGAATATTCAATGTATGTCAATGTGTGCTGCAGTACTTTGATATTAAAGGGGAAGACACAATTTTGGAGAGCAACCCATTCAATAATAACCCTATACAAATTAGCTTCGAACAATTGTTGCGTATATTTTGCCAACTACTATAATATCTATTACACCTTTCTTTTCTGATTATGGGCAGAGTTGACAATAAACTAAAGAGGCAGAATTTAGTATAATTGCCTATTGAAGTACAAAGGCCTGTACTTTTGTTGCCTGGGATATCTTTAAATGTGCCTTGAACCAAAATGAGGGATTTTAAGTACAAGTCAATGAGACTTGATGGGCCTGTACAATACATCAGCATTGTATCACATGCAGATACAATGCCATTCTGAAGCTGCAGCATACTAAATCTTTAAATCTGCTATTTGAAATGTAGTCTTCATACTTCCCTTTGTCAGCTCTTTGTTTACTCTACACCAGGCAACCACACTGTGCCCCTTGGCAACAGAAGGACAACCTCTTCCGGCTGCTAATGAAAAGCTCAGGCAGATTAATTTCTAAGCAGTAAACTCAAGGAAACGACAGTAAGCACAGAGCCACTAATAACTTATTGTATGACATGGATCTGATTCTAACATCATATGTAAAGAAACTACCTGATCCCAATGCCGTCCAGGTAAACTCAGAATCTAAATTATTACACTTTTTAGCTGTTCCTGAAAAAGCAACTCTAATTGGGTTTTGTAAATTGATTTTCCTCAACCATTTTAATGCTGGTATTCAAACTCCCCTTCCCAAGCATTCAAGATACTGTCAAGAAGTGAAGAATGATCACAGAAAAGCAAAGAAAAACAAAGAGCCAGCCATTTCTCAGAAGGTTACCAAGGTACCTAAAAAGGTTAAAGAGTGTACAAAATGTGGAAAAAGAAAAGCAGACCACAGAAAACATGCATCAGATCTTTGCCGAGGTGAGTGAGTGGAATAAATGAGGTAGAACTGGTATTTTTTGCTGTAGCCAGTCACCATCGCGAACCTGCTATGCAGTAATAATTTTGAAAATGAATTACAAGTGAAAGGTATTTCAAAGGTGGCAGCCATGGGATTTACAGGCTTTACAGATATCAAAAACAGACTCAAATGTTCACTGTGGTAAGTGACATATGCTTGCACATTCTGATGTTTTAGGTGGCTAGCTATCCTGTATTTTAAGGGATTAACTCTTGCTTTGAATATTTGTCCTGTGTCTCTTTCACCTCTTGTTTCTAGGACAACCTGTGGGAGACTAATGTTGGGAATCTCCAGAGTGATTTGAGTGTGACTGCGAGCAAGTGTGTTCACCACGATGATAATGATGTTATGAGTCAATAAGTTGTATGTTTAAGTTGATTTCCAAGACTCTCCCCCCAACTATTATGGTTTCAAACAATCCCTTCCCATGACCCTTCATGTTGAATCCACAGTCTGCATTCTCACACTTAACATCCCCTCCACCCCTGCCCTCACAGGAACTAGCACCTCCCAACTCCTCCACTCACTGTAACCAGCACCTCTCCCCACGCTCATACAGTTCCCAGCACCTCTTCACCCCCTACATCTCACAGACATCAGCATCTCTACCTAACCTCCAAGCCCAATTGTAATGTCCTTTATTTGATTTCACAGGGATTGGTCACTCTATGTGATCTGGAAGCCAGATTAGTAAAGGCACCAAAAGATGTATCCAGAATTGATATTTGGAACAGGTATTAAGAATTTTGCTCATGTAAATAAAGACCCAATGCTCATTTGATAGCCCCTTTGTAAACTTCTGTAGTCAGCGCTAAGTAGGATCAACTAAATTTTAGAGAAGCAGGTCTACATGTGGCTAAGTCAGCTGTCCTTAAACTGCAAGCTCTATTGAAAAGATTCCTCCATTAAGAAAACGCACCTGGAATTTTGAGCCCGGAGGAGAAAGATTCTGGCCACATCTTACATATCAAACACCGTATCCCTCACACCGCCACATTTATCCCCTTCAATTGTTTCCCTCCTTTTCATATAATTATTTCTGCCCATTTCTGGAACAATGCCTCTGTCCTTATCCCAAATGCTAGCTCTGTCCTTCTCTCACTTGCTGCCTTATACTCTCAAGGATCACAAACATCCTCCCACTTAAACATAATTTCCTCCTATTTCCATGTTACTAATCCCCCTCCCCAACTCTTGAACATTATATTCCTCCCTCTTCTGATCAATATCTTCCTCTCTCTTTTGATCACTATCATTCTCTATCTCTCAATTTCACTATCCCCTTGTTTCTTCCTACAGTCACTGTCCTCTTCTCTCCCTCGCTGTCTCCTTCTCCTGAATACCAGAGCAATTGCAGGGGAAGACCCACCACCTTAATGATTTCTCTGAGTAATAATCGCTGACCTTCCTAGCATTATCCACATCCCAAGATGAAATGAAGGAGAAAGGGGCTAAAGTTATTTCTAAGAAAATTATTTTCATTGGAATGGTTGAGGCAGAAACCAATGGAATTTTTAAGGGAAGAGTAGGTAAGTAATTGAAACGGCTGAAAATGTAAGGGGATCGGAGAGAGATGATTTTGGATTGCACCTGGAAAATTCAGGAACAAACATATTTAGGTGAATAGCATCCTGCTTTACTGCAAATGTTTCTGGCTAGGTGTCTATAAAAATCTGCCCTGAATTAAAGATTCCAGAATAAGTCAAATTCAATTTCATAGATATTCAATAATTATAATTGTGGATGTTTCTTTATCTTTTCTTCTCCAGCAATCTTTCATATTTTAAGTTGAAAAATGTATTCCATGAACTCAGATTATCTACCTTTCTAGGGAGGTCTCCAGACTTTGATCCATATCAAACAACATTCCAGCGTGAATTTGTCTATCGACCAGTTCCTTTGGTTGAAGGTATCCGGTGAGTCTGAATAAAATAAAGGAGCGATTTAAGCTATTACAGCTCTAAAGTGTCTGGTGAGTTTAGTTAAAGATTGAAGCCAACAGTGAGTGGAATTACCTCAATGTGCTTCACTCGACGTTATTAAATAAAGCATGGCACTGAGGCACAAGGAGGTAAAAACTCTTACATTGAAAGTCTTCGTCAAAGAGAAAGATTTTAAGGAGTATTTTAAAGTAGGCTGGTGAGGTAGGGAGATAGGGATGTATAGGGTGGGTATTCCAAAGCTAGAGCCCAAGCAACCTAAGGCATAGCTATTAACAGTAAAGCCATTACAATCAGGATGCGCAAGAGGCCAGAATTAAAGGAGCTCGGACATCTCAGATATCTTGTGGGATTTTATAGAGAAGGATGAGGCCATGGAAGGATTTGATATCAATGAAAATTTTAAGGTCAAGTTATTTTTTAACCAAAAGCCAATGTAGATCAACGAACGTGATCAGTGATCAGTAGGGATGATCAGGGAAAAGGATCATGTACATTATGACATGGGCAGCAGTGTTCCGAATGATCTCCAGTTTGTTTAGAGGTGTAGAATATAAGAGACCAGCCATCAGTGTGTTGAATCACTCAAGCTGGAGGTAATGGCAGCACAAAAGTAGGTTTCAACTATAGATGAACTGAGGTGCTTGAAATCAGCCATGTTTCAGAAGTGGGAATAGACAATCTTGGCAATGGCACAAATATGTGATCACAGCTTCTCTCAGGGTTAAACATTGCTCCATATTGTGAACAGACCACGTTCCAAGGGAGAGGGATAGAGTTTATAGTTAGGCTTGGAATTTGGAGTGGGAACCAAAATTGTTGCTTCAGTCTTCACAATATTTAATTGGCAATACTTTTTGCTCATCCAGTACTGGTTGCCAGGTAAGCAGTCTGATAATTTAGCAATGAATCAATGCATTGACGTACTTGTTAAACAATTTCTTTCAACTATCTAATTTGAACATCTTGTTTAAATTTTATTTGCTGAATAGTCTTTTCTGGTGTAATCTATTCTATCCAGAATAACAAATGAAGTTTGCTGTTCTTATCCTTTTTGCTTATATTTAGATATCATAGCATGCTCATCCAGTGAGAAATTCCATTTGTACAAACTGGTCTTAGTTTTACACAAGCAGTTCATTTAATCCAATGTAATATGTTTGCCAAAAAACATTCGCAGAAACAGTTTCTGAGAATATGAAGATACATATTTGAGAATCTTTTCCATCGTGAGGTAAATTTCTTTCTGACCATTCGTTATACGCAAAATATAAAGATTTTTAACTGAAATCCAGCAGATGGAAAAAGGTCCGTAACAGGGGAACAGGATTGTGTACATTACGACATGGACAGCAGTATTCTGGATGATCTCTAGTTTGTTTAGAGATGTAGAATATGGAAGATCAGCCTCAGTGTGTTAACCAAGATAGACATTCTAACTTTTGAAGATCTGTCTCTAGTCTTTTCAGTGTGCATGGTATTTACCAGTTCCTCTTTTTTTGTCCCCTTCTCCAGTCCGGCATCATCAAATGGGTTTTCTTTCCCATTTCAGCTCCATGAGCCTATTGGCGATACTGTATACACAAATGAGTATTCCTGGAAACATGGATTAAACCAAGAGCCCACACAAAGTGGAACGTTGCCAGGAAGCAAAAAAGAAACTATTCCGCAGTGTCAAGTAAGCAATATTGATAGATACTGCTTATGAGAAACTTTACAGATATTTTATGGAGCAGAAAGAAGCAGTTTGACTCACCATGCCTGCACTGGCTCTTTCAATGAACACTATCACCTGCCAATTTCCTGCTTTATCCTCAGACACTTGCACGTTATTTTTATCCACATATTGTCCAAGGCCTTCTTGAATCCCTCCACCACATTTCTGGGCTGTGCACTCCGCTATCTACTCAATGAGTGAAAAAGTTTTCCTCATATCACCCTTGCTTCTATGTCCTCTCATTCTTGTTCCATTTACTAGTGGAAACAGCTTCTCCCTATCTACTCCATTCAACCTGTGCATAACTTTGAAAACCTCTGTCAGATTTCCTCATAGCCTTCATCTCTCCAGTCCCGTCTTCTTCAATCTATCCTCATAACTGAAGTTTGTCATCCTTGGAATCATTCTTGTCAATCAGTTCTGCACACTGCTCAAAGTGTTCACATCCTTCCTGTTAATGTGGCAACTACAATTGTACACAATACTTCAGCTGAGGTCTAACAACTGTCTGATAGAAATTCAACATCACCTCCTTGCTCTCATATATTACTAAGAAAGCAGAAGAAACTATATGCTTTACTGCTCTCTCCGGTTGTCCTGAAACTTTAGTGGTCTTGCACATTTACATCGAGGTTTGCTACTCCTGTACCCCCATTAGAATTTTACTCCCTATTTAAATGGTCTTTCAATGTTCTTCCAACCAAAATGCATCACCTCACACTCGCTGCATTGAAACTCATGTGTCACCTCTGCACCTCTGTCATGCGCACAGTTTACAATTCTTCCAAGTTTCGTGTCATCTATAAATTTTGAAATTGTCCCCTGCACACCAAGATCCAGAACATTAATATACATCAGGACAAACAAGAGTTCCAATACTGACTGCTGGGGAATTCTACTTTAAACTTTCCTCCAGCCCAAAACATATCCATTAACCATTACTCTCTCTTTCTCTTCACACAGCCAATTTTGTATCCTTTTTGCTACTGACCTTTTACTCCATGACTCTAATTTTTCTCACCACTCTGTTTTATGTGTTGCCTGTCTCTGAGAGACAACACTTAATACATAGACAAAGATACAGCAGAGACACTTACAGCTCTATAAAAAAAATTCATTTATTAAGTACTTAAACGAATAACACACTTTTACCGATGAGAGATATCTCAGTTACTGTCTTTCACTACCCTGATTTCTGTAACTAAACCCAAATGTTATTACCTGGGAGAGTTCGCAGCTGGCCAGGCTGAAACTGCTCAACATCTTCACTGCGCCTCCTGATGTAAAGTACCTTCTTACAACGTTAGTCTTTGAAGTGTTGTTGAACAAAGGGATTTCTTCAGGCTTTTTATACACAAGTCTCTGTGTCAAGTACATTCCTTACTTGGAATTATGCATGCACATGACCAAATCTGAATGTTTTGTCCAAATGTATGCTTTCTTCGGACTTATCTGTGCACGTGAGCAATCCCAAATGCTTTGTCCAAATGTATACCTTATCTGATAGAGTCAGCAGTTCCTGGTTTTCTGCAGTTTTAACTCTTAGCAGATCTGACTGACTCAGCGTACTTCCATTCACAAAGCAGCCCATTATTAGGCCTCTTTTCAGTTCCTGTATCTTCCTGTTATCTTCAGCCTTATCCAACATATGGCACTGCAGTGCCTTCTGAAAGTCTACTTACATCACATCAACAGCCTAATCCTCATTGAGTCTTTCTATTACCTCCTCAAAAAACTCCAGCATATTAGTCAAGCACAAACTCCAATTCAGAAATCCATACAACTCTTCCTAATCAATCCAACTAAACTACTAATTCAATCCCAAATAACTGTGTCTAGAAGCTTCGCTACCACTGAAGTTAAATCGACTGGTCTATAATTGCTGAGCTTGTCTTCACAACGTTTCTTGAACAAGGCCATGATGTTTGCAAATTTCCAGTTTTCAGGCACCTCCCCTGGGTTTAGGAAAGACTGAAAGCTTATTGCCTGTACTCTTACAATTTCCACCTTCATATCTTTCAAAATCCTTGGATGTTTCTCATCTGGTCCCCAGTGCCTTGTCAACTTGAAGCGCCAATGGTCAAGCCAACACTTCTTCCTTATCAATTTTGATAAGGAAGTTTCTTCCTTTGTCACCATGGCCTGGGTAGCATCTCCCACTTTGGTAAAGACTTTATAAGTATTTTACATCTTAACCATATAATATATTACATGTTAACCTAACCACGTTATGACGTACTCTCCTTTTTTATAACTTGTCCTGTTACAGTGTTCTTTACTATGGAAATTACTCATGAAGGATCCAGAGGCCTTCGATAGAGTAAAAGCATACTTTGTGAAATCATTGTCTTGTGAAGATATGGCCAAGTTAAATACATGTCAATATGATACAATATATCGGCAAGATTACCTTGGAATCCAACAAGGTAGGATCTCATTAAACACGCATCATTATGTCCTTCAAGTTTATGGTTCAATTAAAAGGATATAAGACACCATTTTCTGATTTGCCATGTTTCATTTGGCTAATATATAATTAAATGGAAACTAGATCTTGAACATAGAGTTCTAATTGGATGTGAACTATGGGAAAGTTTACTAGAAGCAGCAGATGGAGACTATTTTAATAAGACAACATATTTGGCAGTGCTGAATGAGGAGGAGCGTAATTGTAAACTTAACTGATTGGTAACAAGATTATCATCAGGTGTGACCTTTATTTTAGCCTTATTCACAAATACAAGTACCAATAGCTATTCAGCCCATTTAGTTCATCCATGAGCAGGAATTTATTCCCCCCTCCATCACACTCTTCTCTAAGTGATTCAGAATTTTTGGTGTCAATTATTTCAGGGGTCCTGCTGGGTGAGAAGGTTTTAGAACCCAAGGATCATGTGGGTGTACAGCAGAGAGGAGAGAGGAAAGGTAAAATTCCTCATTAGCCTTTCGGCTATCTTCACTGTGTACCCAGGATCTTGGAAAATCATCCAGTCAGCACACGGTTTCAATGACAGCTCTTTTGCTAGTGTTATAGGGTATCCATTCATTTGGTTGCAGTGTTCTAGTGCTAGGGAAAGGCAGGTGAAAGACCTTTATCTGCCAGGTTACATTGAGCCAAGAGTGTAGTCCACACCAGTGACTTGACACACTGTATCTCCATTTCTCTCTTTTCTATAACGGAGCATCCACAAGAGTAATGAAAAAGGATATCTAACATTTTTTCACATTTACAACCCTCAGGCTGTTAACTAAGGTCCCCATGAAGGGATGTCTCTGACATCAATGCTTATCAACCCATTGTAATGTAGGTGGGAGTGACCAGTGTTCAGTCCTTGTGTAGAAAAAATCCTGTATTTACAGAGCCCCACTCTCCACAATGTTGTGTGGCACTACTACTATACTGAAGGGGATAGATTCAGAACAGACATATCAACTCATAGCTGGGCATCCATGAGGTACCGTTGTGCATCAGCAGCAGAGGAAGTCTTTCCGTGATGTGCAACCTCATGACATATCCTCCACTCTGCCATTACTATCGAGCCGATGAGGTTCAATGAAGAATGCAGGAAGGCATACCGGAAGCAGTACAAGGTATGCCTAAAATGAGATGTCAAGCAGTTGAAACTTAAAAACAGAACTACTTGCATGTCAAACAGTAGAAGCGGCATGCGATAGAGCTAATTACTCCACAGCACAGAGAGCAGCTCGGAGCTCTGCAGTTCTGTCACGTCCTGTCAGGCAGAAGATGCAAAAGGTCGAACACATGCACCAGCAGGTTTAAGAACAGCTTCTTCCCTGCCATTATTAGACTGATGAATGGACTCTTCAACTTCAAATAATGTTGATGTTGTTAATGTTGACCTTGCCTAGAACACGTTCTCTGTGGTGTAACCTGTATGCCTTAACCTAGCCAAGTTTTTGTCACCCTATGATCTGTACGTCCTTGCTTACTATGATCTGCCTGTACTGCTCGCAAACATTTCACTGTACTTAGGTACATGTGACAATAGACCAAATCAATCAATCAATCATCCAGTTGTGGTTTTTTTTCATTCATTCATGGGATGTGGGCTTTGCTGACGAGGTCAGCATTGATTACCCATTCCTAGTTGCTGTTAAGAAGGTGGGGTTGAGCTGTCATTTTGAACTGCTGCAGTCCATATAGTGTAGGTACCCCCATGGAGCGTCAGGGAGGGAGTTTCAGAATTTTAAACCAGCTACATGATGACACGGTTCCAAGTCCAAATGGCATACGACTAAGAGATGAATTGAACATATTCCCATGCATCTGTTTCCCTTGTCCTTCAGGTGGTGGGGGTCATGGATTTGGAAGGTGTGTTAGAGGAACCTTGGTGATTTACTGCAGTGCATCTTGTAATTGGTACCCAGTGCTGGAACTGTGCATCAGTAGTGAATGGGGTAAATCTGAATGGTGATTGGTAGAGTGCCAATTAAGTGCACTCCTTTCTCCTGGATGGAGTACTTTTTGAGTATTAGTCAGGCTTCTTGAATATTGTTTGAACTGTATACACCCAGGCAAGTACAGAGTATTCCATCACACTCCCAATACGTGCCTTGTAAATGGTGCACTGGGTAAGCAAAAGATGAGTTACTTGCCATAGAATTTCAAGCCTATGATATTCTCTTGTATTTATTTGATTACTCCTGTTCAGTTCCTGGTCCATGATAACCTGTAGGATGTTGATAGTGTGGGATTCAGTGATGCTAACACCGTTGAATGTCAATTTGCAACTGCCTTCAATCAGAATTACTGAGTAGATATTCCAGCTCAATTCTCTGAAGTCTCCAGAATCATAGAAGCCAATCTGCAAACAATTTGATTCACCCCAAGAATGCCTAGAATGACTGAAGATACCAGGAATGGTAAATGCATTTACATCATTCCAGCAATAGTGCTGAAGATTTGTATCAACCCAGAACTAGCCGTATCCCTTGCCATGTTGTTCCAGTACTCTGACATCGACCTGATAGTGTGGAAAATTATCCAGGTATGTCCATAAAAAACGGGTTAAATCCAATTACTGCCCAGTCAGTCCTACACTTGATTGTGATGGATTGTCATCGTCAAATAGCACTCATTCAGCTATTATCTGCTTACTTATGCTCAGTTTGTGTTCCAGCCGACCCATTCATCTCCTGCCATTTTTATAACATTGAAACAAACATACTCAATTCCTGGAAATGAGATCAGAATATTTGTCCTTGACATGAAGGCTGCATTTGACAGTGTGGCATCAAGGACCCCCATCAAAGTGAAGTCAATTGAACCAAGGAGAAAACACAATTAGTTGCAGTACTGCCTAGCACAAAGGAAGATGGCAGTGCTTGTTGGAGGCTAATCCTGTCAATTCCAAGACACCTCTGCAGAAGTTCCTCTGTGTAATATACTAGGTTCAACCATCTACAGCTCCTTCACCAAATGTCTTCCTCCATCATAATGTCAAAAATGAGGATGTTTGCTCATTATTGAACACTGTTTAGTACCATTTATGACTCCTCAGATCCTGACAAAATCTGCTTCTACATGCAAGAAGACTCAGATATCATTTGGGCTTGGGCTAATAAGTGGGAGGTAACATTCCCGCCACTTAAAAACTTGGCAATGAACATCTCCAACAGGAGAGCATTTAGTCATCTCCCGACATAACTGAATAGCGTTGTCATCACTGAATTTCTTTCTGTTAACATCAGAAAGCAAGTATTTACTTGAAGGGAGTTAAAAATGCTGTGGAACCAACCACAATGGCTGTGGTTCAAATATTAATTAAAGCAGTGATCTATCACATTTCTATAACAGTTGTGCCACAAAAGTTGATAGTATGCTAAGGTGTTAGGAAACATTCTTATGAAAAGTGGCTTTAAGAACAAGAAGTGAAATTTTGTTGAGTTGTTAGGGGTGGGGATTGGGGAAGGAACCTTCAAAGCATAAGTATAGAAAATTTCAAATTTATATACAAAGATAATGAAGAAATGAATAAGTGCAGTGCTTTTCCATTTCAAGTGTGTCAAGTTTATTTTACAGAGTGCAAGATGAAGTGTCCCCCCTGTCTGCCCAAAATACGCCGACCGGGTCAGCCAAAACCTCCTGTCACAGATAACAAACGTCACTTTAGAAAACAAGATCAAAAACCTGAGCTCGCTGTCTGCACCACTCGATATGGCAGCAATAAACGCTGGAATTGTGCAGCAAAAGGTGTAGGTGAGAATGATTAATCACTCCGTTGATTGTGTCACTGTATTTACTGTACCACCATTGTAGGGCAGTTTTTTTTATTTAGGTTATCAATGGCATCATCCTCTCATTCATTGATTTTTTCCAAAAAAGCCAGAGACTGAAATGTCACCAGGAAGACATTGCTTAAAGCTTGGAGTTCATGCAACAACCAAACCCTCTGGCTTAACCAAACCCTCTGGTGTCAGGCTTGACTCGGAGATCATAGTCTTGCTTCTGGATCAGAAGGTCATGAGTTCCAATGCTATCTCGGAGACTTGAGCACAGAGTTCAGGTTGACTCTCTAATGCAATACCAAGGGAGTGCTGTGCCTGCTTTCAGATGAGATATTAAACAAAAGCCCAGTCTGCCCTCTCAGGTGAATGTGAAAGATGGAGCTGTGGTTGGGCCTGTTAAACAATATTTAATCCTTAGTTAACCTTTCTTTATAAAAAAAAAATCATCAGGTCAATATCTCATTGTTATTTTTGAAAGTTGGTTTCTTTTAGGCAATCCCTCAGGTTTGAGGATGCCTAGCTTCCAGTCTGGTGTTGATAAATCCACTGTGCGATCTACAGACTTTGTAACATACTGGTTGGGTGGTGCTTGAAGGATCGGATACACAGTTTGTTTAGATATTTCTCTCTCTGCTGTCTAGACTTTGCCACTGTGTGTTTTCAATCAAGTCTCTGTGTTCAGTGCCTTCCCACACATATATACTTCATTTAGCCTTGTTTGGGGTCCATGCTGGATGAGATAGTAGATTATATGAGGCAATGTTCTGCTTGTTGTCTCCTATACCTGTGATGGCATGGGTAATGTGGACATCTCTGCAATCCCTTGCTCAATTGATTACAGAGTCAAGATGGTGCCAGTTTTCAGGTGATGGCTGTTACCACGATGGCCTTACTGGTAAAACAAAGTGTTGGTTGTGACAAATTCATATTCCAGAAGTTTCACTAGAAATCTCAGAGGCGAAACAGTTCATCACCTCCTGGAATTCAGATTAGGGATTGCTCAAGTTTGGCGTAAAATCTCATCATGGCTTCAAGTGTAGGAGCAAACATACTGATAGCATGTCAATGTCTTTTGTTATTCGTTCTGGAAATCTGGGTATCACTAGCTGGACCAGCATTTGTTGCCCATCCTTAATTGCCCTGACAAGGTGTTGAACTGCCTTCTTGAACCATTGCAGTCCATAAGGATTGGGTGGTGGAGAAGTGGTGGAGGTGCATAGATACACCAAATGTGCTATTATGAAGGGAGCTCCAGAATTCTAACCAATGGTGAAGGAACATCAATATATTTTGAAGACAGGATAATGTGTGGCTTGGAATAGCACTTAAAAGTGCTCTTCCCATGTATTTGTTATCCTTGTTCTTTTAGATGATAGAAGTGTCCAGTTTGGAAGGAGCTGTTAAGGAGCCTAGCTGAATTACTGCAATGCATCTTGAGATGATACACACTAATACTACTGTGTGTCGGTGGTGAAGGGAGTAATTGTTTGTGGATTGGGTGCCAACAATCATACTACTTTGTCCTGGATGGTGTTGAGTTTCTTGAGTTTATTGGAGCTGTACTTATTCAGGCAAGAGGAATGGTATCCATCACAATCCTGACTTGTGCCTTGTAGATAGTGGTGGCAGGAGGTGAGCACTGCAGTATTCCTAGCCTCTATCCTGCCCTTATAGCCAAAGTTTGTATATGGTTAGTCCAGATAAGTTTCTAGTCAATAGTAACCCCTAAAATTTTAACAGTGGGGAATTAGTGATGCTAATGTCGAAGGACAATAGTTAGATTCTCTCTTTTTGGAGATATCTGGAACAAAGATTCCTTGCTACTTATCAGCTCAAGTCTAGATGTTGTCTAGGTCCTGTTGCATACTGACACTGTCACAAATTCCAGCAAACCACCAAATCTATGTTACGTAGGGATCAGATTGAAACATAAAACCATTGTAATGAGATAAAATAACTTCTATCTTGTATTTTTAAAGATCTAGGGGATTTAGTAAGAGAATGAAGCCACAAGATTCTACACTTTTGAACAAATAGCAATAAGCTTGATTAAAACAATCTATAGTGCATATACAACTTATTTCTAAAACCTGGAATTAACATTTGGTCAATATTGGTAGCAGATTTGCTGTCTTGTTCCTTCTGTTGGCCTTCCCTCTTGGCCTTTCATTTAGGGTAGCAATGTTGGTGTCATGGCCTAACTTCCTGAGTTCTGACAGATGTATGATGCTCAGGTCTGTCACTGTTGGGAATGTTCAGGATCTCCTGATGTTCCAGGTCCTAATTTTGATGAGTGAAGATGACTGTGTACGATTTACTTTTAACACTGGGTAGTCATTTCATACAAACCATTACATGGTCTCAACTAAGTGGGTATTGGTCCAAAGGCAAATGTGTTCCAAGATTGTTGAAGGCTGGGTTCTGCAAAAACATAGTGTGCATAAACTGCTGCCACCTTTCTACAGTACAGTTGCAACTGCTGTAAAATAGAACTTTATTGACTGTAAATGTTATAGGATGTCCTGTGTTCATGAATGCTTCTATATAAATACAAATTCTCCTTCTTTTCCATGTTCTCGAACCACCACAAACAATTTTTGAGGCTTTTCAGATAAGATTGCACTTTTTTCCTATTTATTTGTGGGATGTGGGCATCGCTGGCTGGCCAGCATTTCTTGCCCATCCCTAGTTGCCCTTGAGATGGTGGTGGTGAGCTGCCTTCTTAAACCGCTGCAGTCCTCCTGCTGTAGGTTGACCCACAATGCCATTAGGGAGGGAAGTCCAGGATTTTGACATATTTCAAAGTCAGGATGGTGAGTGGCTTGGAAGGGAACTTGGAGGTGGTGATGTTCCCATATATCTGCTGTCCTTGTCCTTCTAGATAGAGACAACAAGGTGCAGGGCTGGATGAACACAGCAGGCCAAGCAGCATCATAGGAGCAGAGAGGCTGACGTTTCGGGCCTAGACCCTTCATCAGAAAAGGTGTTTGTGGGTTTGGAAGGTGCTGTCTGAGGATCTTTAGTAAATTTTTGCAGTGCATCTTGTAGGTAGTACACACCGCTGCTATTGAGCATTTGTGGTGGAGGAAGTGGATGCTTGTGGATATAGTGCCAATCAAGCTGGCTGTTTTGTCCTGGATGGTGTCAAGCTTCTTGATTGCTGTTGGGGCTGCACTCATCCAAGCAAGTGGGGTTTCCATCACACTCCTGACATGCCTTGTAGATGGTGGACAGGCTTTGAGGAGTCAGGAGGTAGGTTACTCGCCGCAGTATTTCTAGCTTCTGGCCTGCTCTTGTAGCCACTGTGTTTATGTGGTGAGTCCAGTTGAGTCTCTGGTCAATGATAACACCCAGGATGTTGATACTGGGAGATTCAATGATAGTAACACCATTGAATGTAAAGGGACGATGGTTAGATTGTCTCTTGTTGGTGATGATCATAGCCTGGCATTTGTGTGTTGTCAGCCCAAGCCTGGATATTGTCCAGAACTTGTTGCATTTGAACATGGACTGCTTCAGTATCTGAGGAGTCACGAATGGTGCTGAACATTGTGCAATCATCGTTGAACATCCCCACTTCTGATCTTATATGGAGGGAAGGTTATCAATGAAGCAGCTGAAGATGGTTGGGCCTTGAACACTACCCTGAGGAACTCCTGCAGAGATGTCCTGGAGCTGAGATGATTGACCTCCAGCAACCACGACCATCTTCCTATGTGTCAGGTATGACTCCAACCACCGGAGAGTTTGCCCCCTGATACCCATTGATTCCAGTTTTGCCAGGGCTCCTTGATGCCACACTCGGTTGAACGCAGCCTTGATATCAAGGGCTGTCACTCTCACCTCACCTCTGGAATTCAGCTCTTTTGTCCATGTTTGAACCAAGGCTGTAATGAGATCAGGACCTGAGTGGCCCTGGCAGAACCCAAACTGGGCATCACTGAGCAGGTTATTTCTGAGCAGGTGCTGCTTGATAGCACTGTTGATGACACCTTCCAGCACTTTACTGATGATCAAGAGTAGACTGATGGGGCGTTAATTGGCCGGGTTGGATCTGTCCTGCTTTTTTCTGTATAGGACATACTTGGGCAATTTTCCACATTATTGGGTAGATACCAGTGTTGTAACCGTACTGGAACAGCTTGGCTAGGGGAGTGGCACATTCTGGAGCACAAGTCTTCAGTATTATTGCTGGAATGTTGTCAGGGCCTGTAGCCTTTCCAGTATCCACTGTCTCCAACCGTTTCTTGATATCACATGGAGTGAATCGGATTGACTGAAGACTGGCATCTGTGTTGCTGGGGACCACTGGAGGAGGCTGAGATGGAGCATCCACTTGGTACTTCTGGCTGAAGACTGCTGCGAATGCTTCAGCCTTATCTTTTGCACATGTGCTGGGCTCTTCCATCATTGCGGATGGGGATATTTGTGGAGTCTTCTCCTCTGGTGAGTTGTTTAATTGTCCACCACCATTCACAACTGGATGTGGCAGGACTGCAGAGCTTAGATCTGATCCATTGGTTGTGGGATCGCTTAGTTCTGTCTATCATTTGTTGCTTTCACTGTTTGGCATGCAAGTAGTCTTGTTTGGTGGCTTCACCAGGTTGATACCTCATCATCAGGTATGCCTGATGCTGCTCCTGGCATGCCCTCCTGCTTTTTTCATTGAACCAGGGTTGATGGTAATGGTTGAGTGGGGGATATGCCGAGCCATGAGGTTATAGATTGTGCTGGAGTACAATTCTGCTCCTGTTGATGGCCCACAGCGCCTCATGGATGTCTAGTCTTGAGTTGTTTGATCAGTGCGAAGTCTGTTCCATTTAGCACGGTGATAGTGCCACACAACACGATGGAAGTTATTCTAAATGTGAAGACGGGATTTTGTCACAAGGACTATACGATGGTCATTCTTACTGATACTGTCATAGACAGATGCAACTGCAGCTGGCAGAAAAGTAAGGATGAGGTCAAGTACGTTTTTCCCTCTCGTTGGTTCCCTCACCCCCCGCCACAGACCCAGTCTGGCAGCTATGTCCTTTAGGACCCAACCAGTTCGATCAGTAGTACTGCTGCCGAGCCACTCTTGGTGGTGGGCATTGAAATCCCCCACCCAGAATACATTTTGTGCCCTTGCCATCCTCAGTGCTTCCTCTCAATGTTGTTCAACTTTGAGGAGTACAGATTCATCAGCCAAGGGAGGACGGTGTGTGGTAATCAGCAGGAGGTTTCCTTGCCCATGTTTGACCTGAAACCATGAGACTGCATAGGGTCCGGAGTCAATGTTGAGGATTCCTAGAGCAACACCCTCCCCACTGTATACCACTGTGCCGCCATATTCTGTGAGTAGGACTATGTCAGGCTACTACTTAACTAGTCTGAGAGACAGGTCTCCCAATTTTGGCACTAATCCCCAGATGTTAGTGAGGAGGACTTTGTATGGTCCACAGGGCTGCTTCTGCCATTGTCTTTTCTGGTGCCTAGGTCACTGCCAGGTGATCTGTTCAGTTTCATTTCTTTGAGACTTTGTAGCGATTAGTACAACTGAGTGGCTTGCTAGGCCATTTCAGAGGGCAATTGGGAGTCAACCACATTGCTGTGGGTCTGGAGTCACATGTAGGCCAGACCAGGTGAGTATGGCAGATTTCCTTCCCTGAAGGGCATTAGTGAACCAGATGGGTTTTTCCAACAATCAACAATGGTTTCATGGTGATTAGTAGATTCTTAATTCAAACCCAGGTCCCCAGAACTTTAGCTGGGTTTCTGGATTAATAGTCTAGTAATAATACCACCAGGCCATCACCTACCCATGTAATCTGTGACATTTCCTCTGGATTCAAAGCAATACAACTACTTTAAAGTAGAATTAAGCTGATACTTATTTAACAAATGTTCTTATAAATGGGTTTCATCAATATGATCAGCAATATAGAAATTCTTTGATTTTCCACCTCAAAGTATGTTTAAAATTATTCTATTTTGTAATTAATAACAGTGCCCAATCTGACTCAAGCACACATCCAAAACCAAGAATTTAGGAAGCAGTCAACTACATATGAGAGAGAATATGGAAACAATAATATGGATTTTGCTAAAATATTGAAGTCCCTTGAACCTAAAGCAATCCAAAGCTATCTATCATCACTTCCAAGTAAAGGTATGGCTTTGTTAATTTCTGTGAAAACATTGTCAAATTTTATTTTTTTAATTGTGTAGCTGAGTATTAACCACAACAAAAACACAATTCCACAACAATTACAGTTATCTGCACTACAAGAAATCAAAATGAGAAACTCAGGCAGTGTATCAGTCATTGCATCCTGCAGCCTACATCTGCACAACCTGTAGCCTCAATAGGAGAACAAATGACCAACGTTTTTGCATCCAAACATCCCTGCTAAAGATAAACATATCAGCAGAAGGCAACTAATTGAGAAAAAAAAATGTCCATCTTGTGGATGATGATGGTCCATAAATTCCTCAAGCCATCTAGGGTTATCATTCTTTAGATAATATAAAGATATATAATACCCATGGAGGGAGGGATCACATTGTGGCCCATCAGACTGTTAATCAACCTGCAGATTCTGCCATCACAAAACGCTTTTATCTGAAGAGAAATACATGAAGATTTAACAAGTGTCAAGGTTTATCATTTGCTAGTTAATTCTAAAGTATTTATGAAAACCTGCAGGCACCTAAAGCTGATATCTAGAAGTCTTGTATGTAATAGATCGAGTGTCAACTGGGAATGCATTGGCCCAGACACTTTGGTTGCTGAAAATTTGGAGACTGGATGTACAACAAGAGATACGTGTCAGAACCCAACTGAGGCCCCTTCATGCTCAGTCTGTGGGAAATGCCTGGGAAACTGAAACTTCTAACAAACAAGTCCCCTGCTTCCTGAGAATCTCAAAAATGCCTCTGACTCTGAATTAAAACCAAAATTACCCAAAATCTCTTAGCTTGATAGTTACCCAGAAAGTATTTAATGAAAAATTCTTTGCCTGGCTTCTGGGTAGATATACAACTGAGATCCTTACTCCTTCCTTGACATCCTTCAGATAATCCTCTTTGACCCCACAATCCAACCTGATCCCTCTGACTTCGTGACTTCTCCCAACCATATTACTGATTCTCCCACTCCATTTCACCCAATCAGCTTCCAAACTGATACTTCTTCCTGACTGACTTGATCACACACTTCACCTACTTTACCCATGTGCCACCCTATCCACCAGAAATACAGAGCTTTCTCATTGTCAAAGTCAATAAGGGCAGTGCAGCATTGCTGTTCTTTTGAAAATTTAAGTTAGTATTTTCCAATCTGTATTCTCTTGATTAAAATAAACCTAATTTATAATAAAAAGAACTAGCTTTGCTGAAGTAAAGTGCTGTAAACATTGGTAGAAATTTGTGATATTTTTATTTTTTAAAGCCTTTAATTCTGTTGTGTGACTGTGTTTGTGTGTGGATACATGCACATATTCTCAGCAGCTAAAAGGAAATCAGACAGCATCCTTCAAAGATAACAAAGTGTAGAGCTGGATGA